GTGGTGTTGTAGTTCACAGTAACCTCAAACTCCTGGGCTCCAGTGATTCTCTTGCCTCAGGCTCCTGAGTAGCTGGGACTACAGGTGCCCGGCACAACACCAACACTCACCTATTTTTAGAGACGGGAGTCTTGCTTTTGATTCAGGTTGTTCTCAAACCTGTGAATTCAGGCAGTCCACTCTTACCCCCCCACCTGCCTCCCAGAGTGCTAGGATTACAGGTCTGAGCCACTGTGCCTGTCCCAAAATCAATTTTAATAAGATAACTTATTACTCAATACATCCACGATTTTATTATTTCATCTAATCACCATAAAAAGTGATGAGACGTTTTACATTCATTTTTTTCATACTGGCTTCAAAATTCAGTACATGTTTTATAGGTACAGCATATCTCTACTGGGACTGACTATCCATTTTCTAGCAAAGGATAGGGAGCCATTAAAAGTTTTGGAGCAAGGGAAAGACCTATTTATTTTTGCCTAAAAAAGAGCCCTTGCCCCTTAAGCTAGTCATTCCAGTTTCAGTGGCTAAGCCCGGGACAGTGCACCTCTAGGCCTTCGACTCCACCTTGCTCGGCCTCCCGGCTTACCTGAAGTCACAAACCTGGGAATACAGATGTGGGAATGAGCGAGTGGAGGGGAGGGCAGCTTGGCCAGGCTTCCAGGACCGACTGGCTGGGGCTCCCTGAGGAGGCAACAGCCTTACCAACCTGTCGACCCCCAGGTCTGTGCAAGGAACACAGAGCTCGGAAGAACCAGGAACCCAGAACCGCCGGCTGCTGCTCGACGTCCCCAATGCCCTGCACATTCTGGACGGGCCAGAGCAGCGCTATTTCCTGGGCCTTGTGGATCTCGTTACGGTCTATGGGCTCCGCAAACGGCTGGAGCACCTGTGGAAGACACTGCGCTACCCGGGCCGGACATTCTCCACTGTCAGCCCAGCTCGCTATGCCCGTCGCCTCTGCCAGTGGGTGGAGGCGCACACTGAGTGACCCGCGCCGAGCCTCGCTCTGCGCATCTGGATCGCGGCCCCCAGCGAGGAGCGCCGGTTCCCGCAGGGCCCGGGACGCTCGCCTGCAGCTCCCCTTCTGGCCACCAGGAGGCAGCACCCCCTAACTAATACCTTAAGAGCTCAGCCCGTGTGGGGGTGGTGCGTGCCCGCTTCGTGCCTAGGACGCCCCTACTTTCGCTCATTTAATCCTCAAAAAAAGCTACTATTCTCTTTTTACAGACCATGAAATGGAGGCTCAGGGGGTGAAGGGACTAAGCAAGATCATTCAGCAATAAATACTGGAATCAGGACTCAACCATGCCTTTTGGACCCCGGAACCTGTATTCTTAACCACCAACTCCCACAGTCCACTCTCCGACTGGGGAAGGGGGGAGGCCGAAGGCTCCAGCCCCACTGTCGTCCCACTGATGGGGAAACTGAGGCCCAGAGACTTTAGGGGCTAACGCAAGGGTAAGTGGCAAGGTCAACCCAAGAACCGAGGTCTGCCAACTCCCTGCTCCTGACTTGGGACCCTACTGGCCGCCCTCATGGATGGCCCCTTGCTCCTGCTTCTCTAGGAGCTTCTTGGCACTCTGGAAGGCATTCTGATGGGGTCTAGTGATGATCTCAAGTGAACTCTGTCCTCTGGAAGTCACTTTTCTCATCTGTGAAATGGGGGAAAGGGTCAATGTTCAGACCAAAGGTCCTGCTGTAATAGACATTTCTGGGGGGGTCTGTATGGCCCTTGATCACTCCTTCTCCCTCCTCCAGGGCACTCCAGCCTAGCCTCTGACCTCAGTTCAATCCGCCCATGCCCAGAGCTTCTCTAGGGCCTGGCTGTGTGAGCAAGACAAGGTGCTAAATCTCTATGTGCCTCAGTGGTCTAATATGTAAAGTGAAAAGGATGAAAATGGACCTCATTAGCTCATTAAATATTTATTAAGCACCTACCATGTGACAGGCCCCCTAATGGGCAATGGGGACCGGGGGATGAAACAAGATGCAGAAATTCTGCCTTCATGGAACTCACGGGACTCATGGGGGACTCACAGTCTGGGTGAACCACAGAGCTGGGGGAAGGGACTCCCACCTGATCATTTGATGGATGGTATTGGAAGAGGAGCCTTAAATTCATTTCATGGACAGGTGGGCCATACTCACAGAACCAGTCTGGAAGAGTCAGACACAACCCTGGGAGGGTCCCTAACCAAGGTCACAGCAAAGGCTTGAGGTGACAGAAGCCTGGCATTTGAGAGAAAGGAAACATTTCAGAAGGGGAAGATGCTGTGTGGGCCAGAAGCAGGCAACACAGGACCTTGGCAAAGCCACTTGTCTGCACTGCCACTTCCACTGAGTGTCAGAGGCCTCCAAAGAAATATGGCTGCCAGGAAGGGAGAACTTATGCTGCAGGGCTGGAGCATGGACTCTGAAAATACATACTTATAAAATATTGACATGACTCCTACTTGTCTGGATGACCTTGGGTGATTGCCCAACCTCTCTGAGCTAGCATAAGCTAAGTGGAAATTTCTTGCTCTTGCTTAGCAGGAAGTTAATACAGAGTGTATAAGTTATACTTGAGTGACAGGGCATTGCAGCAGGAACTGGTGTCTGGCTCTACATTTCCTGGGGGGTCTGGATCCCACAGGGTTGAGTCAGAGCTCCAGAATCGTGCTCTCATAGGTAGGGATGACTCAGCCCCCTGTCTGCCTTCGCACCATTGGCAATGAGCCTCGGCAGGGCTTAAGGACAGAGAGTTAAGTGACTTATCCAAGACCTCATGGGACCCAGAACCCCCAACTCATTCATTCAACAGATATTATCTAGCACCTACTCTGTGCCAGGTATGGTGCAGGCGATGGAGGTGCCCCAAGAACCTGATTGGTTTGACTTCCCCCATACAGAGCTAGTGGGCAGGTGGGCCATACTCACGGAACCAGTTAATACACAGAGTGACTTCAGCATGTGACACATAATAGTGAAAAAAATAAACTGGGGTGAATAAGAGAGATAGGGTGCAGAGTTGGATAGGGTGGCTGGCAAGGGCTTTTCTGAGGAGATGATGCTTCAGCTGAATGACAGGAAGGAGTATCCATGTGACTAGAGCAGTCTAGTGGAGGACACAATGCAGTGTGATGGTGGGCAGGAATTCACACCATGCAGGGTCTCCTAGGCTGGGGTAGGGGAGTCACTGAAGAGCTTCATTTGGGGCTGTTGAATTCCTGGTCTTGGTTCCTGGTCTATCTTGGCTTTGTTTTGTTGTTGTTGCTGTTGTTGAGACAGAGTCTCACCCTATGCCCTGAGCAGAGTGCAGTGGCCTCATCATAGCACACTGCAACCTCAGACTAGGGCTGTGGGCATCCTGCTGCCTCAGCCTCCTGAGTCATTGGGATTACAAGGCACTTGCCACAGTGCCCAGCTGGATTTTTGGTTTTTTGTCGAGTCACAGTGTCACTCTCGCTCAGACAAATCTCAAACTCCTGAGTTCAGGCAATCCACCCACCTCAGCCTCTCACAGTGCTGGGATAACAGGTGCCCACTCCTCATCTACCTTGGGAGTCCAGGCCATTTGGGCATGTCCCTGTCTCGGCATGACCCTAGCAAGGAGGGAGTTGCCTCTCTGGGGAAGGGGTCATTACCTCACCAGCCACTGAGTGTGAGGAAAGAATCCATAGGGAACTTCTCACCATTGTACCCTTAGGGCTGGGTCTATGAAGAACAACTGAGGACTTGGTGGGGGTTACAAGGGCTCTGGCTTTGGGGATTCACTGTGTTCCTTGCCTTGTGTGAGGAAGGAAAGACTGAACTTGGATCACTGTTCTGCAGGTGTGCTCAGGCTGGGGTGGGAGAGACAAGGAGCCTTGTGCTCCAGGGAAGCCTCCAAAGGACAAGGCAGCAGGCCTGCTCTCAGCCCCTGAACAGGAGTGGGGAGGAATGGAGGCCTAAAACACACAGATGTAGGGGATTTGGCTTTGAAACTCAAGCAGGGTAGACTTGAAGGTTGCTAAGCAGGAGATGGACACCCTAAGCCTCTGAGAAAAAGGAAAATGGAGTCTGAAATGGGGGCCAGAGCAGGGGCCAAGGCTGGTGGCAGCACCTACACAGGAAGTGAGTGTGGCTGGGATGGTTAGATGACCTTTCTGGTCAGTCAGTGCAACATTTTTCAAAAAATGTTCTTGGAGAAGTGTGCTCTGCAAGTCAGCACAGGATCACTCTCTTGACTGTTCCACAGCGGGGGTCCTTTGGTGGTTTCTGCCACCATCCCTGGTGCCTCAGGGAAGCCACTTTTGAGATCCCCAACGGGCGCCATGCGATTCTTCCAATGTGATACATTTCAGCACCCACCAGGGCCTAGGCCAAACGACTGGGATTCGGAGGACACTCTGGCAAGGAAGGCTTCAGGAGGTAAAAACAGGCCATCAGAGCCCAGCTCTGGAGTGAAACCCCAAGTTCGAATCCGGGCTCTGCCCATACCTGCTCCTGCAGGACTCAAAGGAGGGAAACAAGCTCAGGTGAAGGTCACAAGAGCGTATCATAACAAAATAGTGATATTAAACACAATTCATTTATTCGTTGTTTACCTGAAATTCCAATTTAACTGAGTGTCTTCTATTTTACTTGCTAAAACTAACAACTTGAAACCCAGGGCTGCGTGACCCAAAGCCCCTGCTTACTTCCCTACCCACCCTTCAGTTACAGAAATGGAGAAACTTAAGCATTGTACGGTGGCTCAGACATCCTCTAGGTCCCCTTCCTCTGCGACCCGCCAGCCTACCCGGAGCAGAAGCCCGCTAGAGATGCCGGAGAACAGGAAACGGGAGACGCGGGAGCTCAGACCCCGCCCCCGGCTGCAAAGGCTCCGCCCCCAGTCCGGAGGCCTAGCGGCCCGCCACGCACGTCCCGCCCCGCCCTGTCCGCGCCGGCCCCGCCCCCGCCTCCGGCTGTTTTGGCTTCCAGCCTCAGACTCTGCGGCCGCAGCGCCGCCTTCGCCCTAGGGATCGAGCTTCTAGCCGGGTAGACCAGGCCCTCGGGCCATGGAGCTCCGACTAGCGGATCGCGAGCCTCCGGCGCGCCCGAATCTGCCCGCCCGGTTAGCACCCGGCCGGGAGAAGGGGTGGTGGAATCTGAAAGGGCGGTGAAAATCACAAATCCTTTCCGCCCCAGGCCTCTCCATTAGTCCTCCGGGTAGGGAGATAGGATGGATGGCGTGAAAATCCCTGCTTTCGTCTTTGTCTGCCCCAGACCGGATAGATGACCTTGAGCCTAGGGCTCCCCCTCCCTGCCTTTTCCCCACCTGCGCAATGGGGATTGGGTGGGCAGGTCTCCTAAAGGATGGGGGACACTGCTAACTGGTGTTAACAGACTTTAAGACGTTCGATTCCCCGGTGCTATCTGCCTTGACCCCGGCTGGTACCGCCCTGCCTCAGTTTTCTCCACAGCCCGGGACCCCACTCCACCCCCGTCTGCCTTATCCCCGCCCATCTCTGAGTTTCTGGGTCTTGGCAGGTGTCCAGCTCCCACTCCTTTCCCGCCCCAGCCTTGGAGACAGCAGCCCCCGGACTACTGAGGGACGACAGCATGAAGACTCAGGTAAGTGGTGGAAAGAGGAAGGAGGAAAGCTCCCAGGGGATTTAGACGCACTCTCCCCCAGCCTCAGCAGCCTCTCCAACCCCAGGACTAACTGTCACATCTGACTCCACTGCTCCCACCTCAAAGTCCAGCCCTGTTCTTGCAGGCTGTATGGCCCCAGGCAGGTGGCATTCCTCTGAGGTTCAGTGCCTTGCTCTCCTCCTCTGTAGTGTGGAGGTGACAGTACCATGGGGCACCCAGGTGAAGCCTACCTGGAAGTGGGTTATGCTGTGAAAGTTCTGTTGGGCTGCTTTTGTCTTTATTCAGAGCCCCTGGTGTAGGAGAGAGACCTGTATGTTGGGAACAGTTGACCTCACTGACTGGATCAAGGTCTCTGGTTCCTCATGGTCATGGGAGCAGCAGCCTGGGGCGGCAGGGGCCCCCAACAGCTGGCCACACAGAGGAGACTTATTTTTAGAAACTGATATAGCTGCGGGCTGAAAGCAGTGGACCTGGGCCTTGGGCAGGATGTGCTGGGGGTGGGGGGGGTGGGGGCTGTTTTCACAGTTCTGATTTTCAGAGAGCACTAGCCAGCTGCTGGGTGGTTTCTGAGGGATGGCTTTACCACTTGTCCCTCAGGCCTAGAAAATTGGAGAGACATAGGTGGTGACTAGGGTGGCCCAGCACAAAGTGACAGATCCAGGATTCTGTTCCTGGAATTCTGTTCCTAGCCCCTCCTGGAAAGCTAAGTCTGCCCTAGTGCTAGCCCCAGGTTGGACCCAGCCAGGGACCAGAAGGACTTCCTAGTTCAGATGCCCTTTGGCACAAGGTTTCTGCAGGTGGAAGGCTCTAGGCAACAGCTTTTCAGTTTTTGGAACCTCTTCCTTTCATTTTTAGAGACAGAGTTTCACTTTGTTGCCCTTTGTAGAGGGCTGTGGTGTCATAGCTCACAGTAACCTCCAGTTCCTGGGCTTAGGCGATTCTCTTGCCTCAGCCTCCCAAGTAGCTGGGACTATAGGCACCTGCCACAACGCCCAGCTATTTTTTTGTTGCAGTTTGGCCGGGGCCGGATTTACACCAAGGGATATACACCGTTGGTATATCGGGCTGGCGCCCTACTCAGTAAGCCACAGGCGCCACCCTGAAACCTCTTCTTGAATGACACTTTCCTGAATCCCCTTCTACCCTCTGGGCTGCTGACCTAGATCAAGATCACCAGCTAGACCGGGGGTGTGGTCACTCATGCCTATAATCCTAGCATTCTGGGAGGCTGAGGCAGTGGATTGCTTGAACTCACAGGTGCAAGACCAGCCTGAGCGAGACCCCGTCTCTACTAAAAAGAGAAAAACTGAGGCAAGAAGATTGTTTGATTCCAAGAGTTAGAGGTTGCTGTGAGCTATGATGACGCTATGGCACTCTACCCAGGGTGACAACTTGGGACTCTGTCTCAAAAAAAAAAAAATAAATAAATAAAATCACCAGCTAGAGGGATGGTCACTGAGTCAGCTGGGGATGGGATGGAGGCAGGGCCATCCCAGGCAGTTTTGGTCCATGACCTGAAGGGGCTGATAACCCTTCTGAGGTACCACTTTCCTGTCCTCATGTACACAGCACTTTAGAGTATACAGAACATTTCCACCACTGTCCACTGTAAGGGCATTGTCAGCCTTAGTTTGAAGAGGAGGAAGTAGACCCAGAGAGAGGGAGAGTCATACCCAAGGCACAGCACCCAGGCTTCTGATTAAGCACATGGGTTTTCTTGCATGTGGCCTTGAGCCACGCAGGTCACCCCAAGTTGGTTTCCTTGTCTAGAATATAGGAATAATGAGAGTACTGTCTTCAGGACTATCAGACCCGGACCCTGGAGGCTCTGAGTACAGCTTAGTTAATGGAGAATGGGGATGATTCTGCTGCTGTTCTAGGAGTGGCTAAAGTGGGGTCCAGATCCAGGTGCAGCCCCTGCTGAGGCTCCTGGGGGAGTCCCCCTCCCCCTCCCCACATACACACCTCCCTGACTGCTCTCTCACTCAGGGCCGGCTCCTGCTCATCCTCCTGTGCTCCTTGGTCTTCTCTGCTGTCTACATCATCTTATGCTGTTGGGCCTGTCTGCCCCTCTGCCTGGCCACCTGCCTGGACCACCACTTCCCTCCTGGCTCGAGGCCCACCGTTCCAGGGCCTTTGCACTTCAGTGGCTATAGCAGTGTGCCTGATGGGAAGGTGAGTCAGCTAGGCACCATGTCAGGCGCAGCCCTGGTGGGGGCAGCCCTGGCCAAGCCTGTGGGATGCTACCTTAGATCTAGGGGTAGTGAGAGCTGAATATGTGCCCAGCCAACCTGGACCCAGAGCTTGGCCCTTCTGCTCACCAGCTGGGTGACCCACGCTAGCTACTTTGCCTCTCTGAGGACTAAGTTCTAGGAGGAAATATTGTCTGGCTGCTTCAGCTAGGTATTAGGGGTAAGAGGATGAGTTTAAAAGGATGGCTGCCACATAGCGCTCCCAGTGTGGTGGCAGAGACAGCACAGATGCAGTGCACTGTGATCTGTGCATTCTGTGCTTTGGCCCATTCATCCCTCTGTATACAGTCTGTTCAGCAACCATGTACTTGGCACCTGCCATGTGCCCGGCCTCCTGCCAATGGTTACTGAGGCTAGGACATGGCAGGTGCAGCACGTGCCCTGTGGCTACCACCTCATGATCACTTTGCCTAGTATGGTCACCCCTGCCCCACCTGGTGAATTTCTCATCCAGTGAGTACTCTTAGAGGTGTCTGTATTAATGCAGAATGTCGTAGGCTCCAAGTATGAGTTTGATGGCGCTCTGAGAGGCAGTCATTGGAGGCTGTTTAGGAACACTGGGTTGGAGGAGATGTGTTTCAGATCTTCATCCTTTCAAGTCTCTGTTGCCTCCTTATCTGTCAAAAGACAATCCTCTGTAAAGTTGCTATGAAGATTCATCTGGATAATTCATGGACAGTATACAGAACGGACACTGTGTAAATATTTGAGGAAGAAACAAAAACAACTAAGGGGCTCAAACTCTCATGTGTCACAGAACGACCAAGCAGACGAATGTCTGGGTAGGCTGGGTAGACTCTGTCCCATGTACTACATGGTGGCCAGTGTTAACTTCAGATATAACAGAACCTCACAGGGATGTGAGCCCTGGGAGGCCAGTCCCTCTGGTTTGTTGTTGTTGTTGTTGTTTGTTTATTTGTTTGTTTTTTTCTTTAAGAGAAGCAGGCAATCCAGATTTTGAAGCAAAATGGCCAACTTTTTTTTTTCGAGACAGAGTCTCACTTTGTTGCCCTCCATACAGTGCCATGGTGTCACAGCTCACTGCTATCTCCAACTCTTGAGCTTAAGGGATTCTCTTGCCTCAGCTTCCCAAATAGCTAGGACTACAGGCGCCTCCACAACAACCATCTATTTTTGTGGTTGTTATTGTTGCAGTTGTCATTTTGTTTAGCAGGCCCTGGCCAGGTTCAAACCCGCCAGCCTCAGTGTATGTGGCTGGCA